GATTGTATAATGCATGTCGACCACTGTATGCTCGTTATATGCATAGGCAGTTTTGAGAAGGAGCTTACCGGCATAGAGTTGTGCTGCTGATGATTCGGAGAATTTGAGCGCCTTTTCATTGTTAAAGCGTTAAATGCCGAAACCTTACCCGAATTTTACATGCTTAGCTGAGATAGTTGGCTTTGAACTGATTTATTTTTTCCTTTTCGTCGTTCAAGTCTATTGGCAGATGTTTGGGGAAGCTGACGGCTGCTAGTGTTACGCGTGGTCACCTGAAGGGTGGTTGAAACGCTGATTTCACTTCGGGGGAATTCGTGAAGGGGGTGTCTACTAGGTTTTCTCAAGTTCGGTCTGACCGTTTTGTCCTGATCTTTGTGCATATAGTGACTCGGGACTTTATAAGCCGCAGGATGCTTTAAATGTCTGCTGATATAGTTGACATCTGAATACCACACCTCAAATGTGAGTCATTCTCTTCTTACGGTACCTCGGCCTAAGAAGGTTGCCCCCTTAAGGTCAAAAGTGTAGCCAGTTTCTATGATATGTGTTTCAAGCTGCTAGTTTTGGTCTGGCCTCCTTTTTGTAGCCCTCTGCTCACTCTGCGCTTGCTTTGTTTAATAAAATAGCTTAGACGTCAGTTAGCCGGAGAGATGCCATTAAGGTATTGTCACTCAGCACATTTATCAGTTGGCGTGATACAATATGTTTCGAGTCTATGGAGTAAAGTCCGTACATAGCTGTGTTTGCAAGAAGGACGGTGACTTCTGTTGACTTTAAGTCCTTTATACACAACAAAGCTTTTTCTGACGTTAACGGGAGCTACAATTTGCATATATATGCATATATATAATAGAAGCCAAGATTCGAGCCCCCGGAAATAAATGAGAAGAAGAGACGATCTCGGGAACCATGATTGTATTGTCCCGAAAGCTTTTCTGCTTTTGAAACGTCAGGACCATACTATCATAGTTCCCGAGATCGCCTCTTCTTCTCACGTATATAAATGTATGTGACTGAAGGACGTCCATCAACCAGCTTACGGGGCGTGCTCGTCCTGTTTGGCCTTTTGGTGCAATCTAAAGCCCTCGCGGGCACTCGAATAGCGACAAGTAATATGCGTTGAGAAGGCGGTACCCCTCTCCTATTCGCATATACATGAGAACTAAAAGGGGGTCCAGCATTATACCCTGAAATACTCCAAAAGTAGGGAAAGAGTTCTATAAATCTGTATTCTTCGACATTTGTTTTTAAGGCACAATTTGAGAAAAGCGAGATGAAATGGGCGTATCCTGGAGGGGATTGTGCCTATTTACCAGATCATCCGCCAGTTGGCTTCAGTGACCGTGTTATACTGTCCTTCGAATATTAATTATTTCCTTAGCCCAAATCAACCAGACGATGGGATACAAACATCTGAAATGAAAATTGGCCAACATGCGAAGACATTTCTCGGCGATTCCGTGGATAACCACATTGCCTATATCAGTTAATGAATGCTAAAGCATTTTCAGCTCGATGATTTGAACAATTATTAGTAAAAATTGTCTATTCGAACAAAAGAAGACAAGCGATCTTCCGATAAAAATAAACGGGGAACTACAGGCTGCTTCTAACAAGCACATACATTATGGAAACAATTTCAACTAACAATGAACAACGAACATTTACAGGAGTCAAACGACATCGTAATAACTGTAAACGTGAGACTAGTAGGCTTCCAACGAACTCTGAATTTCACGTGCTGCAGAAGTCTGGAGGATCCCAAGATCCTATAGGGTTGCATATGCGGTAAGCAAAAGGAATTATGACTTGTCTCCGTAGCCGAGATCCCAGAAGAAACACATTTTACGTGTAATCAGATAAAGTATCATCACTCCGGGGTTCCTCCTAATCGATTTTCACACATGGAGTTAATTCTCCTGTCCTCCACAAACGTGAGCAGCAACAAAATTCTATGACATCTTTTTACAGTGTGTCTCACCGACATCTCCTACAAAAGATTTGGCGACATTGAATTCAGAGGACTATTTTAAGACGGAGTAAACGCCTCCTATCATCCAGGTTCGGTGCTAGGCTCTTTTATCTTCCTCATCTATATCTACGACTTCACGAGGATCTTGATTGTTGGACCAAAACGTTAGCTCATGAATTAGACATTTGGAAAAAACCGGATGCGCTGACAACGCGCAGAAAATGTAAGATGCTGGTTGCTTGCCTGGTTCACCACGTGAACTCTAACTTTTATCTACCAAGATGTGCATTGTTATAGTTCGAAGTTTATCAAAGCCATTGCCGTGAACAACAGCAGTGACCTAACGGGGGTGATTCCACACAAATATCTGGGCCTTTTAGCGATTGCGATTCACAAGCCACCAGAACACGGTAAACAACTAGCAATTGGCAGGCCGCACTAAATTAAGCTAGTTTTCTTTGTCTTCCTCCTGAAATCTTCACGCAGGTCTCTCGTACCATTGTTGGACCAAATTTGGAGAACGAAATGCTGGCCCAACTTAGCAATTACATGGGAGAGCAAAAAGACTGACGGCTGGTGTTGGACATTGTTCGTATCCAAACAGACTGGTCAGGCTTGTTTTGTTTTTCTTTTAAAGTAAGCAAGAAATAAAAAAAACTTTCTGGACATTCCGCATCCTTCCTGGACATGAATGATTGGTAAAACGTAAGGACTGCTTTGAATTCACAGAAACAAGCTTTCAGTGCCGCCACCCATGCATAGTCAAACGTGAATGTGCATTCACAGACCAATGGAAGTTTTCTTACAGCTAGTAGGTGATCTGGCCGTGGAACGCAACAAAAAATAGGATTTTACCTTCCTCTGTAATGACTGCGTATAAAAGGCAAGTGAGCTGTTTCCTTTTTGATATACAACGCTTTTCACAGCAGGATTATCTAAAATTGACTACAAACTTCATCGCTCGGAAGGCTCTGGTACTGATGCATAAAACATTCGCTGTAAAATGTTTCGAACACAATAAAAACTACTGCGTTATTTAATGACTGTAGGTGAAAATTCGACGGACGTTACCGACGATATCCACTGTGGTTAGCGCAGAGACGGTGACTTGCACGAGAGCCAGATTATACTGATAGACGCAGACTTGCGCGGCATCTTTTGCACTCCCTTTGTCCTCACCCCTCTGAACCTGGTGATTAGATCGAGTCAAGACGACCGGAGGCGGTGTCGAGCGCAGTGGCTGGCAGGGCTAAGTGGTGCATCCGCGTGTGCCTGGTTCGCGCAAGATGAGCCAGATTTTCAAAAAAAACGAGAAGTGGTCGGCTTGGTACCCATCTGCGTGAGAATGCCATAGAGGCTGCGTTAAGAAGGGGTCATTGAACCTGATTCTCACTCCACCAGTCAGTCATCCATCATACCCCCCCCCCCACACACACACAGTACTGACTATAATGTCTGAGCTATGCCCTCAGTTGCCAACTCTCCAAGCCACGATTTTTAGTGCGTCGTGCTAGATTAAAGCGCATCGGATTTGTTATAGTGAAGAATACGCTGATGTGGCATCGGAATTGAGCCCCGAAAGTCGGCCCCACTTTTCATTCCTTCAACCGGACGCTACTTGACTGTCCGAGTCCATCGTTCAAATGATGCCGTGATTGGCCGGAGTGGCTGACCTAACTTCAGGAACGTCTCTACGCGTGCCACACACGATCTGGGGACGAAGTCGTGCAGCGATGTACAGCAAGAAGCACGCTCTTCACTGACATGAGAATTGAATGTTCTGTACTTGCTTGGGCTATGTGGGGTAGGTTTGTGTGCGGTGTATAGACTGACAGGACAAGGTATGTTTGTCGGGTTTGAAGTGTGCTATTTTACCGCAGATTTTCTCGGATGAGCATATGGTGAGTGACCGATCTCATTAAATTTTGGCCGACCTTCTAAAATGCGTTTCCGACTAGGATGAATTACTTAGGTGGGGTTATAATATTGACTATCTTGCGGCATAATCCAGGATGTCTGCTTCTAAGTGCATCTCTTTTTGGACCTTCTGTAGAAACCACACTCGACAAAAATGATTACTTGAGTAGCATGCACTTTTCACACTGATTTTCAGTGGTCTTACAAATTCAAATATATTTTGTAAAAGAACATGCACAAAATATGATTTTTTGTACTCGTTTGGTAAAGAATCACGTTGTCTTCACATTTTATCCCCGAAGAAAGTACATATTTAGGTTTTGAAAAGTTTCCCAATTCCCGAATTACTTTAAGCCTGATGAGCTGTTGCATTAGCGTTTAGCGATTGCAGTCTACGAGGTGCAAGCTTTCGCGTAAGAAAAATCATACATTCCTCTATGCCTTTAAGAAGATACCATATAGTGCTCATCAAATTTTGCAATGGATGCGGACTATGTTGTACATTTTCTGAGGAACATTGATAAACGGACAGGTACGATAATGTATGAATGAACACCGTACAGTCTTAAAAAATATCATAATTAGAAACTTTTTCAAAACCTAAATATACACTTTCATCGGGGATAAACTGTGAAGACAACGTGATTCTATACCGAAGAAGAAGAAGAAGACATATTCTTGTGCATGTTCTTTTACAAAATATATTTGAATTTATAAGACCATTGAAAATCAGTGTAAAACCTGCATGCTACACAAGTAATCATTTTTGTCGAGTGTGGTTTCTACAGAAAGTCCAAAAAGGGGTGCATTTAAAAGCAGACATTCTGGAGATAATCAGTATTACAACCGCGCCTAAGTAATCATTCCCAATCGAAAAAGCATTTCAGAATTTCAGCTAGAATTTCATGAGATTGGTCACTCACTGTATTATCGAGTGTAAGCATGAGATGACTGAATGTACATGGACAGTGTAGACAGATGAAGTGGGTGCGAGGGCTCATGTTGGTAACTCTGGTGCTGCTTCGCCTGCCTCAGTGCGGTAAATTTGCAAATGGCGGATCAAACCCATATGTGAGGTGCAGCAGCAGTAGGGGGAGGGATTGGATCGATTTCACATTGCTGGCGGAGGGCGGTTGTTGCAGTGATTGTGGAGGATACAGTGGGCAGCTGTGTTCTCACCGGTGGTGGTGGTGGTGGTGGTGGTGGTGGTGGTGGTGGTGGTGGTGGTGGTGGTGGTGGTGGTGGTGGTGGTGACAGTCGCCGGTATCATCCTGTCCGTCTCCTCGGGGCTTGTGATGTTGGTGGTGGTGGGCGGCGAAGCATCGGGCATTTGCTAGCCAGTGGTGGTGGTCGACGTGGTAGATCTGGTAGTAGTGGGCGTGGAGATGGCCTCTGAAACAGGAGAATGCAATGGGTCTGGAGATGTTTGACGTGGACGATTTGTGCTCCAAGCGTTTGCTGGCGTCGTGGTCATGTGTGAAAGGGTTGGGTGTTGGAATTGTTGTTCCGCTGGGTTTGACAGTTGTGAGCTGTTCATTTGGCTTTTAAAGCGTCGATCCAGTGTGTCTAGTAGACTGCTGCTCTTCAGGTCGGCCGATCGTGCGCGGCGTCCTTCCGGGGCTCAGGGTTGGTTTGTGAGTGAAAGTTTCACAGCGTGCGTTTACCGTGCACCCCTCCCCCCCTACCGGTCTACTCGACTCTGTCCTGACACCGTGTCCGAGTGGGGAGGAGGAAAGAGTGTGGTGGTTTCTGCGCGAGTCGACTCTCATTATAAACTAATTCACGCGCAAGTCACCGTGTCTGCCTCACCTTGCCGTGGATCACATGGTGGACATCGTCCGATGGGACGGTCGAACTATCACTTTTACTGTCGCTTCTGTTCTCCATGTCGACGAGAGGCTTTGATGCCGTCGTCGTAAAGTAGCCGCCTGAATATGCGCTCGTCGTCCTTTCGTCCACCGAGTTTCTAGTGGAACAAGTAGAGCATGTAAGATCTACTTTCAAATTCCAAGGGGGCCCCTCTCAGAGTTCAGAAGTTGAGTGTTTAGTAATAAAGCCTAGACGCTGAAGATTCTGACTCGTTCCAGGATTTCCGTTTCTGGGACTCTGCATTGGCAACTCTGATCTTGTATTTTCCGGAGGTAGCTGGGGTGAAGTGATTGAGTGTCTTGACTTTGTTGGAGTAAGCTATTTACGTCTACGTCCCATATAGTGGGACCACTAGTACTGCAGCCCAGTACACCTTGATTTTCGTGATTGGTTGGAGTCTGCGGCTGTTCCAGACTGAGGGATGTAACTGGTCGAAAACCAAGCTAGCTCTGATGATCCAGTGGGCCACTCCGTCGTCGACCTTGACATTCTTCGAAACTGTACTCCCGAATTTGTCCACTACCGAAAGTTTTGCTCCGCTGACACTGTTGTTACTTGGACTCCGCGTTTGGCGCCGGTGGGTGCATCACTACCGTCTTCTCCGCGTGTACGGTGATTTCGAAGTAAGAGTAACCGTAGACGAAGAGGTTAACACTCCGCTGCATACAGTCCTTTGTTGAGCTGTCTCGCGCACAGTCATACACGGACAATAGATCATGGACGCTGATTGTGGGTACCCTCAAAGATGCTTTTAGGTTACGTGTGCTGAACAATTTTTTCTGTGGGTTCGGTATTTCATGAAGTTATTAACGTTTGCGTCCGTAACCTTCGAATTCTATATTTCAAAGCAAGCAACGCAAATATTTCAGCGAAATTTATGTACAGAGTAAGGTAGAGTCAGGACTGATTTGTGGACCGTTTTGGTCCCTGGTGAACGGCATCAGTTATGTACGGGTCGGCGGTTTGGAAAATTCGAACTAGTCCTCATTAAGATTCATCACATATGGCGTGACTGGATGGTGGCCGTAGAATGAACTCCCGCGTTCTTATATGTGATTCTATACACGTAGTGATTTGGCGTGGCACCTAACAATCGAATTCGCTCGAAATTCCAACGACTGTGAAACATGACAAGCTGATACGCATGACAGTTGCGTCACTTGAGGACGTTTGGAATTAATCCTCGAAGGGAGATCGCGTAAATACGGCCATCATAACGTAAAGAAGAAAACGTTAGAAGCCCAAGGAAACTCTCAGTTGTTACACCAGCGTGTATTTGATGGTACAGATCACCACGGGGTGTAGGCGTGTCAAGTTGTGGGTCCACGTGGTGGTCGTGGTAGGTCGCTCGCTTACTTGCAGATGCTGCCTACCCCTAGCCTCCATTAACCGGCACCCAACTCCCCCCTGTGGCCCACCGAAGCTGGGCTCTGCCTAGCAGCCGCACCCCGGTAATAGCCTCGACCGGCGGGCTAAATCAGGTGAGGGTACCCGCGCGTGCATCTCCGCATACGGCCACTCAGCTGTCCTCTCACCTCTCCCCGCTTATACTCCCCCTCCTCCGTCCTTCCCCACCCCTTCTCCCCCCCCCCTTCTTCTCTCCATCTCCCCTACCTCTTTCCCTTCCTCCACCCAACGTCTCCTCCCCCCCTTTCACCTTATCCTCCGTCCTTCTCCTCGCTCTATACTATCTACTTTTCTCTTTTCACCCACGGTCGGAGAGTCCTACGACGAGGGCGACGTGCAATCACGTAGGCGGCCCAGTGACCCATAGTGGAGAGCAGCAGCCGTCTGATGTGACTACGCAGTCCTATTAACAGAGGGCACTGCTTACCCCCGTGAGGAAAAAGGGGCCATAAAAGTTACCCTAAACAATGCTGGATTCAAGACATCTGCGCGCGGACCGCGGTTCGCAGTCTGCAGTACCTGCGGTCGAAACCAACAAACAAAAAACGATATTTTCTCTCCCTCTCCTCCTCCCCCCCACCTCTTCCGCCCCATCCGGCAGCTTGGAATGTTCGTTTCCTTTTGGAAAATACCAGGAGCAACAGAATGGAGCAGAGGACGGTGCTAGCCGCTTGGGAACTGACGCGCTACAAGCTGGACATCACTTGACTTAGCGAGACCCGGTTCTCCGAACAAGGCCAGCTGGAGCGGCCGCCCCAGGACAGAGAGACGAGACGCGGACATTTTCTTTGTCATCCGGAATGACATCGCGGGACAACTGCCCTCTCTGCATCAGGGAACCAACGATCGCCTGATGAGCTTCCACTTGCCTCTTCGGGGCTCCAGTCTAGTTGACATTATCAGCGCCTACGTACCAGCAGTGACCGGCTCAGACGACGCGAAGTCAAAGTTTTACGAGAACCTGCATGCCCTCCTGGCGTCTGTGTCGAAGGCGGATAAGTTGGTTGTCCTTGGTGACTTCAATGTCCGCCTCGAAGCAGACTACACTGCCTGAAAGGACGAGGTGAACTTTCAGGAAATGCCGGCTGCAATGACAATGGCTTCCTTTTTCTGCGAACCTTCACTGAACACCGCCTCCTCCTAACTAACACCTTCTTTCGCCTGCAGATGCGGAGGAAGGCCACTTAGATGCCCTCCCGATCGCGGCGCCGGCAGCTCCTGGACTATGTTCTTGTCCGGCGCCGTGACCAGCAGGACGTGATGGTGACCAAGGTGGTCTGTGACGTCGATGGCTGGACGGACCGCCGCCTCATTACCTCCAAGATGAGGGTTCGTCGGACACCCTGCAAGAGGCCGCAGGGTAAGCGACCCCTATGTAAGCTTAATTGCGCTTTGTTGTCTGTGCCTGCTAACCGATTCTATTGCAACGATCAACCGACCTGGCAGCAGTAGATGAAAACGCCTCCGTGATGACTCGATGATGCTAACTGTGGGACGCCATTCATTTGACCTCCCTGGCTGTACTGACCGCGCACGTCGCCAGCACTAGGACTTGTACAACAAGAACTACGCAGTCATCAGTAACCTGATCGCCGGGAAGAACAGGCTGCACAGGACGTACCTCGACTGTCCGAATGATGCAAACAAACCGGCCATCTATCAAAGTCGCCGCCTTGAGCAGCAACGATTACGATACCTGCAGGACACCTGGATTGTGTGGCAGCCAGCCATCATGACCGGTCTGGCGTCATTGTTCAAGACCTCGTTGTCTCAAGGTCATTCACCCCTTGCAGCGAGCCGTCCCAGACGAGCTGACCTGAAGTCACACGACCAACAGCTCGGGCATACGTGCGTCCGCGCAGTCGCAACTGCCCATGCGGCCACTTGAACGCGCCACCCCATGCAACCAGTAAAACAAGCCACTGGGACACCACCCCTCGGCAAATGCAACACACGCTGACTGGACACCACTTGAGCTTGGCCCGCGAGCCTACAAAAGCAGCTGCCACCATTATATCAGGGACTCTCAGGCCTGACTGGACGCAGTCAACACGAGCCCTGGCTTCGCCAGTGGCCACTGTCGCCTGAGAGGACAACTCCGGGTTCTGTGCACAATAAACCCCTCATTCTGGTTCCTTCTGTCTTCTCCTTACAATCTGGGATTTGACTTGATAATTGTAGCGCACAGAGCACTTATTCTCTCTGATGTGCAGCTACAATTGCCCGAAAGACAGAAGATATCCAGGGATACGCCGGCTGCAACGAATCAAAGAACTTCTTCGCTGCAATCAAGACGATCTACGAATTGCGCACCAATAACAAATGCCAACATTTCGGGGTGTGGTGGCAGACCCGACTGCCGGCAGACGTCGTGCACACTGGGACCTCTGCCGCCCTCCACATTGTCGTTGTTGGTGAAAAACCTGGTCATTTGCTTTGTAGACCAGGGGTGTGGAAAAGAGCGTCAACGTGTGGGCTCGACCGTGCTACCCACCTGAACCCCCCCCCCCGTCTCCGGTCTTCTTCACTCTGCCTTGACACCGAGTCCAGCTGGGGGAGGAGAGGGTGCGGTAGATGCTGCTCAAGTTTACTATCAATCACAGCGCCTGCTCTCACCCTGCTGTGGAGCGCAAAGTGGACATCGTCGGCATCGACGGCCGAGTTGGCGTAGTTCTCATTAAGTGCCCGGACTGCAACCAACTCATGACTGGTTTTGCTCTCAGTCCGAGTAATTATTCCCCATATTACGTAAATGAAGTGCTGACACAGCTCGAGTGTTGACAGCAAGTTGGAATAAATGGTCGTCCAGGGTCCCAGTAGCCGCCGGAGGTAAGTTGATAATTGTCGTACTGCAAACTTAAGTAGTCATATAGGACGGCAGAACCCAGTCCAGACTGCGAAAACGTTGGCGAACATCCTGAGAGACAACGCCCAAAATACTACGTCCGGACAGCAAGAAAGCTGTATTTTCGATGTAGCTTGGTAGTAACAATCTGCTGGAAAGTTTTCTTGTACGTGTTATTTCAAACCGTTTTATACTTTACATGGATGACC